GTTTGTTTTGAAGTGTATTTTGTCTGATACTAGTACTGCAACACCTGCTTTTTACTCCTTGTTGTTTGCATGAAATATCTTTTTCCATCCCTTCACTTTTAGTCTGTGCATGTCTTTGGGTTTGAGGTGAGTCTCTTGTAAGCAGCATATAGATGTGTCTTGCTTTTTTATCCATTCTATTACTCTTGTGTGTTTTGATTGGTGCATTCAGTCCATTTACATTTAGGTTGATTGTTGAAAGATATGTACTTATTGCCATTGCAGACTTTCGATTCATGGTTACCAAAGTTTCAAGGTTAGTTTCTTTACTATCTTACTGTGTAACTTAACTTGCTTATTGAGCTTTTATAAACACTGTCTGGTGATTCTTTATTTCTCTCCCTTCTGATTCCTCCTCCTCCATTCTTTATATGTTGGTTGTTTTATTCTGTGCTCTTTTGTGTTTCCTTTGAGTGCTTTTGTGGGTAGTTGATTTTATTTTTTGCCTTTAGTTACTATTTGGTTGGTCTGCTTTCTTTGCTGTGATTTTATTTTCTCTGGTGACTCCTATTTAGTATTAGGAGTTCTCCCATCTAGAGCTGTCCCTCTTAAATACCCTGTAGAGGTGGTTTTTGGGGAGGCAAATTCCCTCAACTTTGCTTGTCTGGGAATTGTTTAATCCCTCCTTCATATTTAAATGATAATCGTGCTAGATACAGTATTCTTGGTTCAAGGCCCTTCTGTTTCATTGCATTAAATATATCATGCCATTCTCTTCTGGCCTGTAAGGTTTCTGTTGAGAAGTCTGATGATAGCCTGATGGGTTTTCCTTTGTATGTGGCCTCTTTTCTCTCTCTGGCTGCCTTTAGTGCTCTGTCCTTGTCCTTTATTGTTGCCATTTTAATTATTGTGTGTCTTGGTGTTGTCTTCCTTGTGTCCCTTCTGTTGGGAGTTCTATGTACTTCCGTGGTCTGATCGAGTATTCCACCCCCCCACCCCCCAATTTGGGGAGGTTTTCAGCCATTATTTCTTCAAAGACACTTCCTATCCCTTTTTCTCTCTCTTCTTCTGTTACCCATATAGTGCGGATTTTCTTCCTTTTGGATTGATCACACAGTTCTGTTAATATTGTTTCATTCCTTGAGATCCTTTTATCTCTCTCTGCATGAGCTTCTATGCATTCCTGTTCTCTGATTTCTATTCCATTAATGGCCTCTTGCATCCTATCCATTCTGCTTATAAATCCTTCCAGAGATTGTCTCGTTTCTGTAATCTCCCTCCAGATGTCATCCCTTATCTCTTGCATATTTCTCTGCAGTCCATCAGCATGGTTAGGACCTTTATTTTGAATTCTTTTTCAGGAATATTGGTTAGTTCTATCTCCTTCTCAGGGGTTGACTCTGTGATTTTGGTCTGTATCAAATTCTTCTGCTTTTTCATGGCGATAGAGGTATTTGTGCAGAGCTGGTGCATGTGTTGGCTGGGAGACATCTCTTCTTGCTGGTTTGTGGCCTTCCTTTCCTGGGAGAACAGCGTCCTCTAGTGGCTTGTGGCTGTTCAGCTGCGCACAGATGGGGCCTCTGATTCTTGCCTAGTGCTGTGGAGTTAAGCTCTGCAGTTGCTGGTGGAGTTAAGCTCCACGGGTGCTGTGGGCATGACTGGCCTCAGTGTGTTGCTCCAATATGGTGGAGCTGCATCGGAGGGGAAACAGGCGGGAGGTTGTTTATCACCTTGAGGGGCCTCCAAGCTGCGCTGCCCCCTAGGGGGTTAAGGCGCCTGGATTTCCCTGGGATTCCCAGCTGCTGTGCTAAGTGTCCTGGGACGCTTCCGTCCAGCTGTGGGGTCTCTGTCCCTTTAAGACTTTCAAAAAGCACTTGCTTTTGTTTTTCACAGGGGCGCCGGCTGCGGGGACCCACTCACAGGTCTTACTGTTCTGTTTCCCTTGTTTCCGGCATCCCACGCACGCACTGTGTAGACTCTGCTCTCCGTTGTGGATGGCTAGGGCTGGGTGTTTAGTAGTCCTGGGCTCCCTCTCCCTCCCCGCTCTGACTCCTCTCCTACCACTGGGAGCTGGGGTGAAGGGCGCTTGGATCCCACTGGGTTGTGGCTTGTATCTTACCCCTTTCATGAGGCACTGGGTTCTTGCAGGTGTGGATGTAGCCTAGCTGTTGTCCTGTGTCTTCTGGTCTCTCTTTTAGGAATAGTTGTATTGTTGTATTTTCAAAAACATATATGGTTTTGGGAGGAGATTTCCGCTGCTCTACTCATGCCGCTATCTTGGCCCTGCCTCTTCTTCCATTATTTTGGGGGTAATTTTCCTTCCTTTGTTTTCTCTTTCTCTTATTAGTCTTATTGAATGGATTCTTCTATGTTCTTTCGCAAATGCCATTTCCTTGGATATTTCTTCCACTTTCTTTAAAATTTCATTGACTTTGTCTTTCAACACTTCAAGTGAACTTATAATTTTGACACCTTATTTCTAATTCTAAGACCTGCTTTATATTTTTGGACTGTTAGTTGGGTATGGTCTTCTTGTTCCACAGGTGTAATAAAAGTCTAGAAGCATACTAATTAGTTTAAGTTCTCTTAAGTTTCTTTTCCTCTGTGGCCACATTTTGTTTCTATCTCTTTCCCACCCTCAAGTTGGAGCGTTCTCTTAAATATTTCATAATCCTTGGCTATCTGTTCATATTTAAAGATGAGGTAGTTGGAATGCTGATTAGGATACTTGTGAACTTGGGAGTCTTGCCAAGTTGCACAACTTCACCCCAGCGTGAGTGGGTAGGAAACTGGTTATTGTGCTGGAAGGAAGAAATGCTGTACTTGTAGTCATTAAATGCTCAAATAACTGCCTAAATCCTCCTAGAGATTATGAGAACTGATTTTTTAGCCTGGTATAAGTGTCTAGCTATTGTATCTGAGATATAGGAATGGTTCTGCTGTTCCACATAGAAAACTTACTTCAGTTCCTGTTTACAGTCCTGCTTCTCACTTTTGTTCTGTCTCATCAGTGTCTCCCAATTTCAGTCCAGGTCACTACTGGCAGAAAGGCTCCCTTCCTTGGCTCAGCATCCTGGCACCTATTACACATTTTGGTTCCTTCCATTTTGTTTAGTCAGACCATACTCACTTTCTGTGTGTAAAATTAATAAATTATCTTTTGGTGGTCCTTCTCCCATTTTTCATTTTGCATGGGTTTGTATCATGTTTTACTCCTTTATTAGCATTTTAATGGGGCATTAGGAAGTAGACACAATGAATGCATGTGCTTAGCCAACTTGAGTAAAAAAGAATCCTAAAGATAGGTATAGAAAGGGATCTACGGCAGAGTAGGAAATAAGAAAAAACAATCAGAGGGATAGCAAGAAATCAAAAAACCAAAACACCCCACAAAATCTGAGTCTGTGATATTCACAGTAATCCTGTGAATGTGTAATTTAGCCTCATAGCATCTGAATACTCCAGATCCACACATTTAAGGATATGATGGATCTCAGACACCTAGTTCACACCCCATTTTACAGTTAGATAGGCCCTAGAAGTGAAGTGATTTTCCTAAGGTCACCCAGAGAGTGGCAGACGGAAACTAGAAGGATGCATGACTCTCTACTTTTACCTCACCACCCTACTAAGGAGTAACAGGATGAGTAGACCAACAGTCAGATGACAGAGATCTCGAAAAACAGCCGGAGAAGGATGGCTTTTCTTGGGTAAATAGCCAGCTGCCCAAGAAAATGAAATATTTTTGGATGCTTATTATCAGCTTTATAGTCTTTTCTGGCAGCAGTGTAACAACTGGCGGCTGTATGTTGCATGAACTGAAGGGGGCGACTATACAGCAGGACGGAACTGCAATAGTCCAGGTGTGTGCTGATCCTGAGGGAACAATTAGCAAACCTGGGCAGGGTGTAACTAGAATCGGGTGAGTGAATGACTGAATATTGAGAGATGTGATTTATGGGCGTGCACACTGGTTAACTGTGGTGGTGGGGAGTAATTAAGGATGATGACTCAACTCCTTGCAAGGGCATTTTAAATTACTTTAATAAAGACTAGAACGCTGGCAGTAAATATATTCCACATCGCTCTCACTTCCTTGGTTTGGAAATGGGTTACCTACGTAAACGGTCGCAGTTACCCTCTTCGCAAGGCTCCGACATCAGAAAATCGAATGCGGTTCAGTGCAAGAAAATCGTTTTTCCTGAAAAAAGGGCCCGTTGCCCGGCTGACTGGCACAGCGGTCGTGAGCACTAAGTAGGACGAGGATCCTGCACGGACTTCAGCGCAGCGCAGGGGCTGAATGTGGACGTGAATTTCCGCCCACGCACTCCTCTTCTGCCACAGTCCCACAGAAAACGACGCCCCGGAGTGGGTCTTCCGTGGTGATGCCTGGGTTCTTTCCGTAGGGCCGTGCGGCACTCCTGAGTCTCACATCAAATTCCTACTTCAAAGACAGCTAAGGGTGGGGAAACCAGCTTCCTCTGACAAAGGGTGCGGGCCGCGTCGTGGGAGCGCAGCCCGCACGAGCGTCTACCCCGGAGCTGCTTCCCGTGGCGGCGGCCGCGACGCTGGGTAACGGGCCCGCGGGTGGGGGGGGCGGGGGGAGAGACGCGGGGCGAGCTGTGGCTCGGGAACGGTGTTTCCGAGCTCGGCTCGGCCCTGCCGGCCGCCTCCTACGGCAAGCAGAAGGAGACAAACGCCGCCTCACCGCGCTCCCACCACCGCCCCTTGCCCGAGCCCGCCGGGTCTCCCTTCGCAGGGCCGCAGGGGCACGCGCGGGAAGTGTAAGCCCGCGCCCGCCGCTCGGGTATGGCGCAGGCACTGCCGCAGCCGGGAGTTACCCCACTCCCCCGCCTTTCGAGGCTGCAGGGCGTTGGGCGTGCTCCCAGGGGGCGCGGGCGGGGCGGCCAGCCAGAAGAGGGCGGAGCTCAAGGCGCCTCGCGGAGGGGCGGGGGCGGGGCTAGGTGTCTCGCGCAGGGGGCGGGGTGCGGTGACGTCGACGGGCGCCGGGGCAGGACTGTGGCTGTGGCGGCGGCGGTAGCGGCGGCGGCGGAGGCAGCAGCCACCCTGAGGCGGGTGAGAGGGCCGGGGTGGAAGTCGGGCGGGACCTGGAGCTTCCCGCCTGTCGCTGGCGCGCTGCTGCCTTTTGCCCGACTTCTCCCTCACGGCCCTGGCTGGGCAGGGCAGCGCGCCCCCGGGGAGGGCGGAGCTGTAGGTGAGGCTTCGGGACCCCTCCCCCTCGCTGCCCGTCCGTGTGGGGGAGGGGGCGGACCCCGCGAGGCACCCCGCGAGGCACCCTGCGGGGCTGCGGGAGAGCGGCCCGATGCGGGAGTCCGGGGAGGAGGTGGGCGGTAGGGTCCCTGGGCGCTGGGGGGCGCGGATGGAAGGTCTGTGCGGCTTGGTGATGGGCGAGGTGGTGGCTAGATGGAGAAACTGGGGAAGCGGAGGAGGTCGGGCGCGGTCAGGGCGGATCTGCGGGTTTAGGTGACTGATGTTGGAAGAGATGAGGGTTTTCCTTTTGCGTTCTGTGAAATGGTAAGACAGTAGATGAAGGGTTGTATTTCAGAAGGAAGATGAGCCGTGGATATTGCCTTTGAGGTAGTTGGAGAAGCTGTTGCCCTAGGTCTTACATTTCTACCTGAGTGGTTTGGTTATTTTTCTTTTTTTCCTCCTGGCCGGGTGGATGGGCCGGTGGCTGGGCCGGTGGGTCGGGAAGGGAAGAGAATCCCTATGCATTTGGCTTCGCGTGGGTTAATTGTGAGCGTTGGATGAATCTGAAGTTTTACACTCTTCAAGAAGAGTGAGATCTTGGATTGAGACAATTTCGTTTTGGCAGCAACATTACGGAATAGGACCCATCACACTTAGCTCCTAAAAGGTGTTATCTTCCAGTCCTTTGCCTATCTAAAAGATCTCTCTACAACCACCTAATTTGTAAGGTTTATACTGGCCCCTTAAGAGAAGGCCTGAAAATCAGGTGGTTGCTTTGGAAGACATTTCTTAGTAGTAGTTGCAGGTGGCTGTGGTTGACTGGTTTGTTGGATAAAACGAACAATTCAAACAGTTCTATTAGAGCTAATTATCGGATAAAGGCCTAAACGTTTTAAAGAGTAGCTGTCTTTTACAGCCCCTTTTTCAATAGGCCTTGACATTTAGTCCTTTAGTGTTCAACATTTAATTACTGGAGATTTTTATTTCTCAATTGCATGTCTTTATTAGACACTTTAAAAATGAAATGGAGTATTTTAATTTTTTAAGTTTTTGGTTGGCCTCTCAATTTCTCAGAAATGTTATTGGAGTCAAGTAGTTTTAAAATGCTCTTTAGTAACATTTTAGGGGCACGTGTCTATCACTTTCTAGGGAGATGTTACTAAGGGTAAACAGTGCTCAATGTTGTTTGCATCAGTTTTCAAAACTTAGCACATTACATCTTTTCTGGATTGTTACATTAATCTAATAATTAGATTACAGTATTTGCTGACCTTACCTATCAGTTAGTGTCAATTTAAGCTATTTCTTGTTGAGAAAACAGGTCCTGTGATGGACATGTATTATGTAATGGATGGAAGGAGGCATGACTCTCAATAATTCCTTACGGAGGAAAAGAAACCGTCATGAAATGGAATTTAAGCAGTGACTTTCCTAAGGCTTACTCAATTTATTTGGAAACAATGCCAGAGAAGTGCTTTCCTGTAATCAAGAGAGAAACATACAGATGTGAGTGTGAGTAGTTGCAGATCATTGCCTTTTTAACATGCCTACTTAATGAGCAGACTGTTATCTTCTAACAATACTGCTTTGAGTGACTTAATAGGAAACAGATATAATAGCTATTAAGTGAGGAAAGGTATGGTCCAATTTGTAATTAGAAATAAAATATTAACTATTCAGACGGATCAAATTATAAGTTGGTAAATGAATAGTTTTGATTTTTGGATTAGTTACTTGGAAGGAAAATTAAAGTTCATATATCTTTGACTTTTAAATTATACTTTGATTTAATTAGCTACATATAGGGACAAATGTGAACAAAGATACTGGGTCAGAATTTGTGTGTGTGTTGCTGAAATGACATTTGCAGTGGCTGAGGGTAGGGTGTGGTTCTCCTTGTAGGAATGTAATCATAATTTGGGGGAAATTGGTAGGTGGAAGTGATCTATTTGTCTTCAGAATTTCTTAAGTCCTGAAAAGAAACACTACATTTTAAATTTTCAAGAAATGTCACTTGTTAGTCATTAGTGTAATAGCCTTGTTAAATCTACTGAGGTAGTTTTTTCCCCTATTACTAAAGTCAGATAAGTACAGTTGACCCTTGAACATCATGAATTTGAACTGTGCGGATCCACTGTATGCAGATCTTTTTCAGTAACTATATATTGGAAAATTTTTTGGAGATTTGCAAAATTTGAGAAATATTTTCTTTAGCTCACCTCATTGTAAGAATGCAGTGTATAATATATATAACATACAAAATATGTGTTAATCGACTTGATATTATCAGTAAGGCTTCCATTCAACAGTAGGCTATTAGTAAAGTTTTTGGGGAGTCAAAAGACTATCAGATATTCAACTGCATGGAGGGTTGGTGCCTCTAGCTCCCGTGTTATTCAAGGGTCAACTGTATGTCAGCCTTTTAATTTTACATTAATATTGGGAACAAAAGTGAAGGTTCTCATGGCAACTGCTGCTCTTTTTCTTTATGCTTTTACAAATAGTGTAAGAGCTGTTAAATGTTCATTTTGTACATAGTGTATCATTGCTGGAGGAAGACCAGAGAATGAAGTATTTTGGTTAAAATAATATCAAATAGTATCAAATAATATATTGGTTATCAATTTTTGGAGATATGTAATAAACAGCATAAAGGTTATGTGGACTATAATTTATTTCTATGGCTCTTTAATATCTGAGCCTTGGGGCACTGATTCATTAATATATTCATTCAACAGTTATTTAGTGAGTGTGGTTCTGGGTACTTTTTGTCATTGGGGATGTAATACAGAACAGAGCTGACACAAGTCCCAGCCTTCCTGGAACTTCCCTTCTGGGGAAATGAAGAGGAATCCAGCAGAGGAGCTTGATAAGTCATTGAGTTAGGAGGAAAACAGGGGAGTCTGATGATTTAGAAGTGAAGGAAAGGAGGTTTTCAAAGAGGTGGGAATGATCAACTGTGTCATTGTTTAAAGATGTGTCAGAGTGTTGGGTAAGAGGGAATTCTGCTTGACTCTGAGGTCTCATAGAAAAATGGCTAAATTCTTTTTAGTGTAAGATGAGACAAAAATCTTCAGGTTTTTACCTTCCTGGATTGATTTAAAAAAATTCATTATTTACAGAACAAATTAGGCAGTCTGGGAGTGTACACTTTTAAGGAGAGATATGACTTTGTTATTATTAATCTTATGTACACTTATTTTTTAAAAATAGGTAATACATATACCAAATCAGAAGGTATAAAAGCATACACAGGGAAAAAGAAGTCTCTTCTATCCCATCCAGTTATTCCTGAAGGCAATCACTATTTCCAATTTCTTGTTTTTCCTGGCCAGTGAAGTTTTGTGCAATTATATGGCATTTAAGTATTTAAAAATTGCATAAGTATAAGTATTGTTTCTCCTAGGTTTTTTTTTTTTTTTGCTGGCTTAGTATTTGTTTTCCTAATTTAAGTCTAGCTACCTGCACACCTTTTGTTTGTTGTTTTATAACAGCTTTATTGAGGGATAATTCACATACTGTGCAATTCACCCCTTTAATGTGTATAATTTAATTTTTTGTTAAACCCTCACTGCAGTCAATTTTTAGACTATTTTTTATCACTCCAAAAAGAAGCCCCAAACACATTAGTAGTCATGCCTCTGACAATTTTTATATCGTTTTGTATGTTATGTGGGGAAAAATGAAATACTGTATTAGTAATTAAATGTCAGTGAAGCCAGAAAAGTGTGTACTTTTAATATGCTCTGACTGAATAGAATCATAAGTTCATGTAAAAGTCAAATTGGGTAATGTTTTATTTGGTTGAGTGAATGATTAGATTATCTAAATGTCTTGTTTTCATTATTCCTTCATTTATCAAGTATTTATTGAGTACCTTTTGTGTTCCAAGTTCTGGTGTAGGCTAGATGGATTCCATAATAAATAAGCAATAGGGTCCTTTATTCTTAAGGAGACACATTTTAGTCGGGGAAGAGGAAAGGTTAACAGGAGCTTGTGTGTGGTCTGCTGTGCTGAGTGTTTCCATAGGTGGATACCGGGTTCTATGTCAGCTCATAGAATGGATCCCTAAACTGGACTGTGGGAAGATCTAAGATGTGATCTTAAGGATAAATAGGATTTGACTAAATGAAAAGGATGCAAGCAGAGGGAACAGCATGTGTAGAACCCAAAAGCAAGAAAGCTGTAGGGCAAATTGAGTGATTGGAAATAGGTTGGTCTGGCTGGAATGTTGAGTGCTAGTGTGAGGTATTGGTATCACCCCTTTCTGTTAAAAAGAGTGTTGTCTTAAAAAGGCAAAATCATTACTAATTTGCCTTAACTCTTTGTGGCTTGCTGTCACTTCGTAGCTGTATAACTTTGGGTGAGTTACTTTATTGTAAAAAAAACTCAGTTAATTTTCTCATCCAAAATGGGACTAATATTCCTACCTTATGGAATTGTTAAGAATAAATGAGATAACACTCATAAAGCCCTTAATAAAGTGCTTGGAATATAGTTCAGTACTCAGTGAAAATCAGCTGTCCTGATGGTGGCAACAGGGTCGTGGTGTTGGTGGCGGTGATGGACAGTGATGAAGTTTCCTGATGTGTGGAATTCCTTTGGATATTGTGGAGCTCCAGAGAATTCTCAGGAGACTGGAGAATGATGCTTGTCATTTTAACTTTTATCTGGGAGGAAGGAAGTGAATATAAAAAACTTGAGACCAGCACTGTCCAATAGAACTTTTTGTGGTAGAAATGTTTTGTATCTTCACTGTCCAATACAGTAGCCACTAGTGATGTGCCTATTGAATACTTGAAAGGTGGCTAAGGTGAGAAACTGAATTTTTAATTTTATTAAAATTAAATAGCCCCTGTGACTAGTGCTTAGTGTATTGGGCTGCACGGTCACACATTTATAGATTGTTGAATCTAATATTGAACTCTGGCAATATTTTAGAATACATTATTTAAAAGGTAGTTTTAGAAGTCTGTCAAGGGGAATAGTGATCAATAGGATACA